GTGTGTGACTTGCCCAAGGTCACCCAGTGGGTTTCATGGCCAAGCCAGGATTCAAACCCTGATCTCTCTTTGTCCTAATCCAGTACTCAAACGATTACAGTTCCTAGATATTAAGGGGTTAATATTAGAAGATGGGAAGTTTCATGTTTCATAATTTTTTATGTTGTGTTGGACTGATGATGTAATTAAAGTAAGTGAAGCAAGAGTCCATTACTCTCTTTTGCGCAGTGGAATGGGACTGTTTACTGAAGACTTGGCCTATTGAGAAAGGAAGAAGCAGACTAATAAAAAACTGAACATGTCTTAAAGGAAAGAGATAGTAGCAGAATTTGACCTTCGTATGAAGGTAGATTTCCTATTTCACCCTTGGAAACCTTATTTGCTTAGAAGAATCTCCTTCACTCCTGATTCTAGGGTTGATGCACCAACTTTTTCATTAATGGTCTTACACTGTTTATCAGGCTTATCAAAGGTACTGTATATACTAGGCTATGAGTTGATCTCATGTATAAGTCACGGACATGTTTTGGAGCCAAAATGATGGATTTTGATATGACTTGTGGATAAGAGTGAAACTTACAGACATGTAACAAAGGATGTAAAGGGCAAAGCAAATGAAAATAATGCCAAATAACATAAAAATTATGGCAGGCATAACTCTTAGGTGCCCATCCTAAATGCTGGATTAACTGAAGTGGGAGCTATGATAAATGATGGCTATGTGATATGTGAGAAAGACAACCAGGTACAGATGCAAAATGCAAAATAAAGCAAAATGGTGACTACATTAACAGTAAGTAACGCTTTTAATTTGATAGCTTTGCCTGATTTTAACCCAGAAAAGCTGACAGTCCTACACAGATGTCTTATTCAAATTCATCAAAGCCAGATTCCTCTTGGTTCTCCTTTGAGGGGACATGCCAAAGGCCCACTATTGCTACCAGTTTTCCTGGTATTCAAAAAGGTTAGAAGTGACATCACAGCAGAGAGAGTAGAGGAGGTCCATGCTTCTTTGAGGTGCTTCTGGGATGGACAAAGTCCTCATCTTTCACCACTACTCAGAGAAGGTGATGGTTCCATTTTTGATAAGAGCTAAGGTACAGTGTAGGAGCCAACGTGGTGTAGTGGCTTGAGTGTTGGATTGTGACTCTGGAGAGCAAAGGTGGATTCCCCGCTCGGCCACAAAAACTCACTGAGTGACCCTGGGCAAGTCACATCTTAGATGATAGCAATGACAAAACCCCTCTGAAGAAACTTGCTGTGATAGGGTCGTCATAAGTCAGAAACAACTTGAAGGCAAACAACACACACACACACACACACACACACGGTATAGGACTTACATTGACCCATGGGTCAAGTTTTGACTAACATTTCTAGACTTGTACATGGGCATATATAGCACAGTATATATATACTGTGCTATATATACTGCAAGAGCAGCTGGGGGCAGTCAAAAATGATGAAGCAAGCAGAACACACCCTCAGAAAGACAAATCCTATCAGAAGCATCACCACACATAAAACAGGGACATGGAATGTGAGAAGCATGAGCCAAGGGAAGCTAGACATAGTGAAAATAGAAATGCAATGCATGAACATAGGAGTACTGGGGGCGAGTGAGTTAAAATGGACAGGAATGGGCTACTTTGAATCAGACAACCATACAGTGTTCTACTCAGGGAATGAAAAGACAAGAAGAAATGGGGTGGGTTTCATACTAAGAAAAAATGTTGCAAAAGCAGTCAGAGGATACAATGGAAAATCAGACTAATCTCAATAAGGCTCCACGGGAAACCTATGAATATCACCATAATTCAAGTATATGCACCAATCACTGAAGCAGAACAAGAAGAAATTGATAGATTTTACAAAGGAGTACAGGAAGAAATTGACAACACACCAACACAGGATGTCAAGCTGATCATCGGAGATTGGAAAGGAAAAGTTGGAAGAAGAATAAAAAACGGTAGGCAGATTTGGATTAAGCAAAAGGAATGAAGCAGGTGAGCGTGATAGATATTTGTGAAGCCAACAACATATTCCTTTTTTTTTTAAAAAAAATCATACAACCAGAGAAAAGGTTATACACCTGGACTTGAGTAGATGGCCAACACAAAAACCAAACAGATTATGAATTACTGCAGAAGAATTCATAAAGACACTTCCAACAGACAAAAAAAAAAGTGAAGAAACCATGGATGACAGATAAAACGCTACAAGCAATAAAAGAAAGAGAAACAAAACAAAAAGGAGACAGGAATAAACTAAGAAACATGAATGCAACAGTACAATGGCTAGTGTGCCAAGACAAGGAAAATTATTACAACGACAAATGTAGAGAAATAGAAGATAACAACAAAAAGGGAAGAACGAGAGACC